AAAATAAGTTAGTGTAAGCAAGTGGGTATGAGAACAAATATCTGTTTCCAGATCTTCTGTCATTGGTTCGTACAAATTATCTGATTTTCTCCTCACTCATTGAGGAAGATCTTGGTATCCTCATTTGACAAGTATGAACACTGAAGCTTGAAAGAGATAGATGGCCAATGACACACTAGTGAGTGGCAGAGTCGGGAGTGACACTTAGGCTTTTCTGGTCTCTAAGACTTTGTTGCTTACTGTGCTGTACTCCCTAATCGCTACCTGGGGGTTTTAAGTAATAGAAATAAGCTCGATGGTTAAAATCAGCTTAATTATAGCTTTTCTAGAATCCACATCTTAGTTGTTTGGCAGTTTTTCATTGAGGGTGTCGTATATGCCAGAAACTCATTTAGGCACTGGAAATAGTCTCTTTCCTAGCCAAATTCAGACTAGTTAGTTAGAGAGATAATACGTGAACACAAAATAGAGGGCCAGTGACTTAGTAATTAATTTGACCTTTTGGCTGCTTTACATTTTCTTTGAATACAAGGTGTTAAGTGCATTTTAGAGGAGTACAGAAAAAGTTGTGAGAGCTCAAGGGAAAGAAGCCACCGGCCACTTTGGTTTGCTTTTTTGTTTTTGTTTTTTTAAAATAATCTTCCTTTGTTCTAAAAATGAATGTAGTTATAGAGGAAAAGCTAAAATAAAGTGGCATTTCATTAAATATGTTTTAATATGTCATAACCTAAAACTTATTTCCACTTAACGTAAAGAAAGATTGTTCTGCAGATTCATTTGTTTTTGTGCTAGTGCCAGTTTACGGGCTTCTGCTTGATTTAGGAAGTATATCCTACAGGCAGTTAAAAACATGGTCTTTGGAGGCAGCCTCCCTGGATCCACATCTCAAGTCTTTCCATTATCATCTGATGTACACTCTGTTTCGGTTTTCTCATCTGTCAAATGGGGTTAAGAATAGCACCTACCTCTTAGAGTTGTTTGGGAAATAAGTGCCTAGCACCATGTCTTGCCCTGCACAGAGTGAATGCTCAGAAATGTTAGATGTCATGTGGAGCATTCACGCTTATTTGCTGAGATGAACTCCCTTTTATGAACTGAAATATAGGAGCCTTTACTAAACAATTATCTTTGAGAATTTAACAGAAATATAGGTAATGCATTTGTTGATACTTTTATGTTGCTTTGCTTTTAAAATGTTAACTTCACTGAGAACTGATCCATTTTTAACAGCCAGTGGTTATCTCATGATTAGGATTTGTTAATATGGTTATTGTTTAGAAATAAAGCTTTGTCTCTTTGGTAATATGTAACTGCTCTTCTAATTAAAAAGCATGTCTATTAAAGTGGATGCTGTTGAGGTTCAGTGTACATCTTTAAAGATCATCTTTTTAGATGTCCATTCTATCAAATATTCGGACTACAGGACACATTTAGAACTTGTTTAACCTGTGAAAACATAATTCTTTCACAACTGATGCTGTAATTATTTTTAAGGCTAAAGGAAATTAAGTTGTATTAATATATGTTCTTCATTATATATTTGAAAACACCCCATTTCATTTTTGGTCATCAATAATGGCTTGCCAGATGGAGTTATTTGAGTAAGCGGTGAGCTCTTAATAAATTTGACAACCGTAGAGTATTGGTTCCTAACTAGGGGCTATTTCGCCCCTGACAGGACATTTGGCAATGTCTAGAGACACTGGTTGCTGCAACTGGGGGCTGTTACTGGCATCTAGTGAGTAAAAGCCAGGGATGATGCTAAACATCCTACAATACACAGGACAGCGCCTTGCAACAAAGAGTTGTCTGGTGCAGAATGTCCCTAGTATTGTTGAGAAACCCCACCTTCAACAGTTTCTTGCTGCATCTCATAGCTGAAAAACTATTGGTAATTAATGTGGGGAGTCTTCACAGAAAGCTTCTTTACTAGAGTTAGGAAGAACATTTTTATATTAATATATGATTTGGGGAAATAGGAATGTATGAATAAACAATTAAAGGGGGGATACCTTTTATTTTAGACATTGGTTTAAATTAATGTGAATACATTTAACATAAATTATTTTGTTGTGTCTTTTTTTTTTTTATAGATATATGAAGA